ACAAGCAGGTGCTCGTCTAGTACGTTGGCCTGTTCTGCGATTTCCTTCTTCATTTTGTGGTTGAGTTGAAGGTCCCGCGTCACACCCGCCCATTAAAAATTCCTCAATCATGTCCTCATTGGTATAGTCTGTCTCGGCTGCACTGCCATAACTTAACCTGGTTCCCTCCCAATTCCAATTTGGTATGGGATTAGAAGACATTAGGATATTTATTGAGGGTTGGTAATAATCTTGGGAGGTAAATTGTTGTGGCCTGGAAATAGGCATTTGTTGTTGGGGTGTCTGATAGTTGGGATTATGTGGGGTTTGTAGTGTTAATGATGTTTGTGGTAGACTGGTTGATGTTGATTGGGTAAGATGTGAGTATTGTTGTTGGGTGCCCCGTTGGGTGGGGTTAGATGAAGGATATTGTTGTTGGGTGCCCCATTGGGTGGGGTTAGGTGAAGGATATTGTTGTTGGATGCCCCATTGGGTGGGGTTAGATGGGGATATTGTTGTTGGGTTCCCCATTGGGTTCGGTTAGATGAAGGGTTTTGTTGTTGGGTTCCCCATTGGGTGGGGTTAGATGAAGGGTTTTGTTGATGGTATTGTTGGCTTGGGGTAAAAGGTGGTTGTGTTGGAAAGAAAGGTTGTTGCGTAAAAGATGGTTGTGTTGGAAAGAAAGGTTCTTGGTTGCTCATGAATGGTTGTTGTGTGTAAGTGCTTGATGATGGTCTGGTGTGTTGGACGTTTGAAGATGTTGGCAAATTACGAGGGTCATATAAGAAGTTGTTTGGTGACAGATACAAATTTGTAACAAACTTATACCATTCTATGTATTCCTTACTCGATTTACATTCTTCTGACATGACATCTTCTTGTAAGACTTTATCTTCGCGGTTATGCCATTTTCTTTTTCTGACACGCCGCTGATACGTTGGGCGGATGCGTTACTTTTTGGTCTGCCATCCGCGTAATTAATGGGCGAAAGAGTGTTATTTGACCTGCCAATGTCGCAGGAGCATTGGACGGAGCCCATACCCACATTAATGCTTCCGCCTTCCCATTGGGCGGAGCCTTTACACACATTAATGCCACTGCATCTGCAATGGGTGGATGGGTTGCTTTTATCAGTTTGACCATTGAATAATAAATATTCCTACGTTTATTTATTATAATATATTTACTAAAGACAAAATATATTTCATTTAAATTCAGTTCTTCTTCCTACAATTTTTCATCAACCCAACCCATTTCAAAAACAAATTTTTCCTACAATTCAGCTCTTGTTCACTAACAAATCATCATGTCTCAAACACCTCAATATGTAGTGGATGCTCATTACAATGGAGAGATCCTTATCTCTGATGATATGGGCATTATATTCGAAAATACCGATATATGCCAGTTCAAATTAAGTATAAATGCGAAGTTTGAATATTTGAGGGAGAGGATACAAACAAGGATGCAATCTGGAGCTGTCTCACAAATTATATATCGAAATGCTGTTAATTTCGGTGTGAACCAGGTGAAATATGTTCCATTGAAAATCCGAGATGATGATGATGTGGAAACGATGTTTTACAATCATGAATTATCTGGGTTACATGCGATAGATTTATACATAAAATTCCAACTTTCTCAACAATCTAAAATCTCACAAGTGGCCAATCCCAATGAGGCTGAGCCCGTGTCCATAATTCCCGACAAAGTCGTTGTCGAAGATGATGAAGAAGAAGAGACTGAGTCACAAGCTGATGATTTGTTCACTACCTTATTCAAAGACGGTGGCCGTGACGAGGCGGATGCAATCAACGAAACTGAATAACACATTCCATTTGAGAATGTCTATTGTCCACCCGCCCACATGACCACTATGGGAACAACTGGAGACGAATCATCATTTGAATGGCCCCACAATCCTCGTCTTCTGCTGGAGGATGACATAGCTGTTGGGAACCAGTTCAAAAACAAATCTGACTGTGTCTTTTGCGATATCCAGGTATCATATGAAACATGTCGTTGGTTTCAGGGTTACATGTTCTGACACGAAGAGATATAAAATTTGTTGTAAGCGTAGTGGTTGCAACTTTCGTCTAGTGGCATCCTATAGGAAAAGGAGAGGCCTATGGGAGATAGGAATCATGGAGCCCCCACATAATTGTTCAATGACCATATTTAATCAGGATCATCGACAACTAAGCTCTCGACTGATGAGTGAACGATTAACGAAATTGTTTCTTTTTTCAAATACACTCCATCTTACAAGAAGGCATGGATTGCTAGAAACAAAGCAATCAAATGAGTGTTTGGTAATTGGGAAAAGTCATACAATGAACTTCCAAATTACTTGTTGGCCCTTAAGAAGTTTGTTCCAGGCACTGTAGTAGAAATGCAAACACTACCGGTATATACAGATGACGAGACTGTTATTGCTGGGAAACAAATCTTCCACCGACTATTTTGGGCTTTCCAACCATGCATACGTGGCTTTGCATATTGCAAGCCTTTACTACAGATTGATGGTACCTGGTTATATGGAAGGTACAAAGGTACACTACTAATGGCTGTAGCACAAGACAGAAACAACAATATTTTCCCAGTTGCCTTTGCCCTAGTGGAAGGTGAGACGGCGGATGGTTGGGGTTTATTTCTAAAAAACTTGAGAATGCATGCAGCTCCTCAACCTGGCTTGTGTTTGATTTCTGACCGACATGCATCTATCGAAGGCGCTTATAACAATCCTGAAAATGGTTGAAATAACACTACATCTATCCATGTGTATTGTATCAGGCATATTACACAAAATTTTATGAAGGATATCAAGGACCGTATCCTCCGGGAAAAAAAATCAACATGGGTAAGTACCTTTTATGCAAACATTACATGCTCGTTGATAGTATAACATTATATTAACCAATATTTTTTGTAACATGTAGGGTATGCGCTGAACCAACCAACATTTAAATATTATCGTAATCAAATTGGGATGGCTAATGGTGATGCTTTGAGGTGGATAGACAAAATTCCAGTTGAAAAATGGACGAGGGCATTTGACGAGGGTCGTCGTTGGGGGCACATGACAACAAACCTTGTCGAGTCACTAAATTCAGTATTTAAAGGCACTCGTAATCTCCCCATCATAGCATTAGTAAGTGCAACATATTATAGGATGGGAACACTCTTTGTTGAAAGGGGTGCAAAGTGGAGTGCAGTTTTGAATTCTGGACAAACATTTACAGAGCGGTGCGTCAAGGTGATGAAAGAAGAGACGTCAAAATCCGCCACGCATCAGGTAAACATTTTTTACTATAATAATAACACTTTCAGTGTGAAGGAGACAATTAACCACGGTGAGGGGAAACCATTGGGGCGTTACAAGGTCAACCTAATGGAAGGATGGTTTGACTGCGGAAAGTTTCAAGCATACCGTGTTCCTTGTTCACATGTTATCGCTGCATGTTCTGTGGTGCGCCAAAATGCATTTCTTCTATTGTCTGACGTTTACAAGGTGGCAAACTTATATGGGGTTTATAGCACGAGCTTTCCAGTTCTACCATACGATGAGTATTGGCCCACTTATGAGGGAGATCAAATTTGCCATAATCCAGTTATGCGGAGAAATAAGAAAGATCGTCCCGTGAGCACCCGTATTACAACAGAAATAGACGCATATGATAAGTTGGAGAGAAAATGCACATTGTGTCATCTTCCAGGTCACAACCGAACGCGATGCCCCAATGTAGGAACTAGTAATAATTAGTTATTCATTTTGTTATCAATTTGCAAAGTTGTATGTATAATGACGCCAAGAAATTATGTTTCATTTCACTAATACTTCTGCATTTAATATAAATAACAATTCGAAAAAACAACACATAAATTAAAATACTAAGACGAATAGTAGAACTTAGCAACAACATTAAACCTAAACAACATCAACATGTTCAAACAAAGACATAAGCATTTCTAGGATATTACAACCAGCAACAAAATGTCTTTTTGTTGAAGCATCATCATAAGAACACATGCGTCGTTGTGAACAAGTCTCCAAGAACAAGTGAGTCCATTTAAGCCAGACACCGTAACTAGCCTCTCAATTTTCCGAATCTTTTCACCTTGGACAATTTCTTCCCCTAACCATCCCTTCAAGTGCCTATGCAGATGCTCAAATGTCTGCATGTTCAACAATTTGATCTTCATCAGAGGCTTTACTGGAGAAAAAATTAGTTCAAAGTCTCTTTTCGTATATGGAAACGTTGGAAACTCTCCGGATGTTGAAGACATTTTTAAGATACAACTAAAGAAAAATAATTTAAGTGTAGCTAGGATCATTCAACATCAACGATATTTATAGTTCACAGCAAAAATTTTAAAATAATAAAACCCTCCGCCCATTACAGTGGCGGAGCCGTACAAAAATAATAAAATAACGAAAGCTTCCGTCCATTGCACTAGCGGAACCGTACTTAAATAATAAAATAATAAAATCAATAAAACCCTTCATCCATTGCAGGGCGGAGCCGTACTGCAATAATAAAATAACAAGAGTCTCCGTCCATTACACTGACGGAACCGTACTTAAATAATAAAACTCTCCGCCCATTACAGTGGCAGAACCGTTTTTATTTATTACTATGATTAACAATTATTTTAATTTAAACTTATTTTTAAATATTAATTTTAATATTGATTTTTTATTTAATAGTAATTTTTATTTATTTTTAAAATTATATTAAAAAAAACGTTATTTAAACCGCTCCGCCAATACAATGAGCGAAAGCTGTATAAATTTAAGATCATCCGCCCATCCATTAGGCGGAACCTCCTATTTTTGAAATTTTTTTTTTTGAAAAAATTGTATATTGAAAATATTAGTTGAAAAATATGGTAATTTAGAATTTAATTGGTAAAAAGGATGTATGTTGGTAAAAAATTCTTGCGTTCCTCTCCCCCCTCTCTCTCTGCACCAAAAGGCTCTCTCTGCACCAAAAGGGAGAGGGAAAAAGAATTTCACAAAAATGGCCAACGCGTTCTCTCTTGTAGCACAACAATACAAAGCTCTACTGAAAAAAAACGTACTCCTCTCATGGCGAAGCAAACGCTCAATCCTCCTCCAACTACTCTCTCCAATCATCTTCATCTTCCTAATCTTCGCCGTCGACAAAGCAATCAAAGCACAAACCTCCACAACTTCATCTTACAAATCCGTAACAAACCCTGCCTCTCTACCTTCCCCGCCAATCCCACCTTGCGAGCGTAAATTCTTCGTTAAGCTTCCTTGTTACGATTTCGTATGGAGTGGCGATAACAATCCAAAGTTTCACACAATTGTGAATAGAATTATTAGTAATAACCCTGGTAGACCTATTCCGATTTCTAAAGTGAAGTCGTTTAGGGATAAGGGGAAGGTTGATAAGTGGCTTTTTGATAATCCTATGCAATGTCCTGGCGCGATTCATTTTCGTGAAGAGAATGCTAGTGTTATTGGTTATGGGATTCAGACTAATTCTACTAGTGTTCAGAAACGGGGAAGATTTGAAGATCCCACTTTTTCTTTTCAATTGCCTCTTCAGCTTGCTGCTGAACGTGAAATCGCCAGATTCCTTATTGGAGGTATATTCAAATTTTTCAAATTAAGGTTTTAAATAGATTTCTTATTTTTTGAGTTTCCCTGTTTGGAAGTTTTATGAAAACAACTTATAATAAGCTTTTTTCAGCTTATTTTCATAAATTCTTCTAAATAGTTTACAGGACAACAATTTGTTCAAACGTGATTTTTACACTCAAATTTGTTCAAATCACTTTTGCAAGACTTCAAAAATAAATCATTTACGTCCAATTCAATTTTAGTCAAAATCATTTTTACATAATCAACTTACTCGGTATCAATATTTTTCACCACAGAACCAAATAAACACTTAAACTATTTACCCAAACAAGGCCTTAGCAATATTATAATTACGGTCAAGTGTGGCTGATGCAACCTCAATTGCAATTGCAGAGGCATCTAAAACTCGGATGTCGTGTCGGATGAAATCTCAATTGTTGTTTTAGAGACATCAAGTTTTTGACGTCGCAGCCTTGATGGCAGTAGCTTGATTAAAATTGTAACTATTTTTTAATTTAAAAACTCTCTAGTGGTCGTTTGGTGTTGTATGTGTCTTTTGCTAAATAGTTTGGTTTTCAGTTGCGTTTGGGGTTGAAGTTACAATCAAGAGTGTTTTTATAATTTCGATTTAGAGTATTGTGGTGCTGCCTTGCACATTTATAAATCTAAAAAGACTATTTAAAACCATGATCAAACTTGTAATTATTAATTAATTTTGAAAAGTCCTTGTTAATGATTAAATTCATGTTTTAAATTCTTATTATTGATTGTTTGATGAAAATTTTCAGACCCGAGCTTCAAGTGGAATGTGTTTTTGAAGGAATTTGCGCACCCAGCAATGAGTCCTTTCTCTGCTGTTAGAACAATAGGTCCGGCGTTTTTTCTTGCAATTGCTATGTTTAATTTTGTTCTTCAGATGAGTTCTTTGGTCACAGAAAAAGAGCTTAAACTTCGCCAGGTATGGTATAGTCAGAGTAATGAACACTGCTTTATTGCTAATGTGGAGAATGCAAAAATTTCATCTTAGTGCCTACAATCTTCAAATATTGGTCACTGTGTATCAATCCCTATAATTAGTATACATTAGTTCATGAGAGTCTAAGACCAGTAAGGCCAATATTTATTGTTGATATATAGGAAGCAAGGTTTTAAATAGCAGTCACGGTTATGTCAGGATGCTAGATTTTGCAGAGAATTATGGTTAAATGCAGGTGACAGAGCCTCAACCGTGGTTGCTTTGCAATTTCATAGAAAATCCAAACCCTGATGCCGCATACCTTTAAAACCTTGATATGAACTAGAGTTGCTGCTTTTTGCATTAATTTTGCTCCACTGCCAAATTATGCTGTTATAAATTTGGCTGTTCATTTTTTCGCTATAATTGCGTTTGTTAATTCTTGTTTTCATGGCGTTTTGGTTTTGATAGGCAATGACTGTGATGGGGCTTTACGACTCTGCGTACTGGTTATCATGGCTAACCTGGGAAACAGTTGTTACAGTCCTATCATCTATTCTCGTAGTTCTCTCTGGCATGACGTTTCAGTTTGATTTCTTCTTGAAAAACAATTTCGCTGTTCTGTTCTTTTTGTTCTTCCTATTTGAACTCAACATGGTAAGAATCTTCTAGCTTTACCCTTTATACTTTCTGCTTCTTTACTGGGGTCTGTTTTGGATTCTGTAAATTTGAAGGTTTTTCCAATCCCTAGCATTTTTTTCGTTTTGTTTTAGACTGGGCTGGCCTTCATGTTATCTGCTTTCATTCGTAAATCATCTTCTGCAACAACAGTCGGCTTCTCCATATTTATTGTCGGCTTTGTGACTCAGGCAAGAACCAACACTTCTTGTTCTTTCAGGACATGGTTTATTAAATACATAGAGACGATGGATGCTCATGTTCTTTCTGTTATTTTATCTATTTGCAGCTTGTGGTACAAGCAGGATTTCCTTATACTGATAGCATCTCTGTTACTTTCCAAAATTTATGGTCTTTGTTTCCGCCTAATCCTTTTGCTCAAGGCCTGAGTATACTTTCAGATGCAGTTTCAACCCCTGAAGATAATGGTCTTAGCTGGAGTAAACGGGGAGAATGTGCCGATTATGACGTTTGTGTGATCACAATTGTATATTCCCTTTTAGATGATTATTTTCTTCCATGGTTCTATATTTCCTTTTATTCCTCCCTTCCATTCAGCCTTAGATGTGTCACTTCAATAATTTAATTGCTATATCTTTTTTCATTGGCAGAATGATATTTATAAATGGCTTCTGGCCACATTCTTTCTGTGGTTCGTTCTGGCCTTGTACTTTGACAATATAATCCCGAATGCAATGGGTGTGAGGAAATCCGTGTTATACTTTCTAAATCCTCATTATTGGACGGGAAACGGAGGACAAAAAGTGAAAGGTAACAATTATTCTTTGATTTAAGGTGTGTTTGTTACGACATCTGATTTAAGGTGTGTTTGTTATGACATCTTTCGTCCTCTTTATAATTCTTCTTTCCCATTTCTTCGTCTTCCTTTTATAGAGGGCGGGGTTTGTAGTTGCTTAATTTCAGCCCATCATGAAGATAATAGTACAGCAGATGATGAAGATGTCATTGAGGAGGAAAATGCTGTGAAGTTGCAACAAACACAAGGTGTGGTTGACGCAAATGTTGCTGTTCAGATACATGGCATTAAAAAGACTTATCCTGGTACATATAACATCGGTTGCTGCTTTAAATGTAAAAAAAGTGCACCTTATCACGCTCTTAAGGTACATACATTTTGTTTTACAAATTTTAGTATTAGAAATTGGGGTGAACAGAAGAAAACTTGTTTCTGTATGTGTTTTCATGCAACAATTTCTCCCGGAGAAAGTTTAGTTAATATTTATGAGCCTTCACCAAGAAATTTAAACTTTTCGTTTTCGGATAGTTGTTTCATGATAATATTAGAGCTTCTTTGAACAAAAGTGGTTGTAATGAACTCCATGCTAGTTCTCTCCAATCTTCTAATTAAAAGTGAGAACAAACCATCAAGTACTCCTCAAAGTATCACTCTCTCTACTTTAGTCCCTAAAATATATGAAAATAATAATTAGTTTCTAAAAAATATAATACCTGTCAATTTAATCCATAAAGTATATAAAAATCTGCCAGTCTAGTCTCTAAGATCTTAATAGCAGAGACTAAATTGAAAGATTTTATATAGTTTAGGGACTAAATTGAAGAGAGAGGGATACTTTAGGAACTAAACTGATAATTTATCTACATTACTTTCCACTCTTTAACCCCAAAGGGCTCTTGTACCTGATTCATTTGTGATTAGTTGCTCCTTTAAATTAATTTCGAGTAGTTTAGGTGTAGTTCTATTGCAAGATGGATTTAATTATCCGTCTATCAAACAATCATAAAATCTGAATATGCAGGATCTTACTCCGTGTTATACTACTTTACATGAATGTTCCAGCCCCACATAATTCGTGTTTTAATATAACATTTGGTAATGATTGTGATTTCCTCCTTATAGGAGCTCTGCTTTAAGAATGGGTAATGTGTTATTCTCAAATTATTTTCAGGGCTTGTGGGTGAACTTTACAAAGGATCAGTTGTTTTGTCTTTTAGGACCGAATGGAGCTGGAAAAACTACAGCTATTAATTGTTTGACAGGGATAACTCCAGTAACTGATGGAGATGGTGATACCCCCTCTCTTTCTCCCTACTATATTGACTATTAAGTAATCAAATTGTTGGTATCAAGAAAGAGTATATAACTTTTCAATTTCCATATCAGCATTGATTTATGGACATTCAATCCGAAGTTCCACTTGCATGTCAAACATTCGAAAGCTTATAGGAGTGTGTCCCCAGGTGTTTATATCTCTCATTATAAAAGTTTTTTCTTGTAAGACACGTGGTTTACCACAGTTCGAGTTAAGTCTGCAAACTAAACATCAATATCTACCAGAGTTTCTTAGTGGCTTCCCCTAACCTGGTAGTAGGTAGACGCTCTGATACCAAATTGAAATTTTGTGTCTAACTCAGATCGCACAACTTGTATTTAAAATGGTGTTACAATAAATATATTGAATTTCTACATTAAGATTGCATATATTACAGATGACTGACCTTTTATGGAATCTTCTAATCCACAGTTTGATATCCTATGGGATGCACTGTCTGGTCAAGAACACCTCGAACTCTTTGCTAGTATTAAAGGCCTTTCCACAGCTTCTATAGAATCAGTAAGTTAACTCTAGGCCTGAAGTTTTTCTGTCCATTGAAAGATACACCCAAAATCCTCTACTGTATATATTTTTTTCTTTCTAATTTGTATTGTTTGAAATTAGTAACTATTAAGAGTTCTGCTTTTTTCCCCTTTTAATTCAACTTCTGAAAAATGTAGATTACTCAGACATCACTGGCAGAGGTGAGACTCATGGATGCAGCCAGAGTAAGATCTGGAAGTTACAGTGGAGGAATGAAACGTCGTCTCAGTGTTGCAATTGCCCTTATTGGCGACCCTAAATTAGTCATTTTGGATGAACCAGTATGCAAAACACTAATACCTTCTTTAAAGCATATATTTTCTTTAAGGATTACAAGATTTTATTGTTCATTCTTATTTCTTAGACCACTGGTATGGATCCAATAACAAGAAGGCATGTGTGGGACATAATTGAAAATGCGAAAAGAGGGCGTGCCATTGTTCTTACAACACATTCTATGGAAGAAGCTGATATTCTAAGTGATCGCATAGGAATCATGGCAAAGGGAAAGCTCCGATGCATTGGCACCTCAATTAGATTGAAGTCACGCTTTGGCACTGGTTTTATTGCTAATATTAGCTTCTATGGAAGCAATAATGAAAACAGTCCTGTAAATGGTGATGCAGTATCAACAAGACATCATGAGGCTGTGAAGCAATTCTTCAAGAACGTGAGATGAATAATTGTGATGATTTATAATCTTTTCATGACAAACAAGATTTTTTTTTACCTGTGAAATATTTTGGCAGCGATTGGATGTAGTACCAAAAGAGGAAAACAACAACTTTCTAACTTATGTGATTCCTCATGAAAGAGAGACACTCCTGACAGTAAGCTTTCTTTTCTTGGCTTTGATTCCATTTCTTTTGAATCTTCTTAACACCGGTGTTTAAATATTAAATGTTTCCAAGTCATTGATTACCAATGAAGCAGATCTTTATTGAATTTTTCTAGTTATGGTTATGCTGATTATGTGAACTTCTGAATCATTACTCAGTTTCAAACTTTATTCTCAATAATATTTTAGAATCGTTATATGGTTTATAACCTGATAACTTCTATATTTAAATGATTGAAATGGAAAACAACTATCTTTCTTTATAGATGAGTTCAGTGTTACCTTGCTGCATGAAAACATTCAAATGAATCCTGTCTATTGCTTAATATCAAAGTAATGAAGAATAGTTCCTAAATTTACATTTTCCCATAGACTTTTGCATTGCATTGTGAGCATGAAAACATTCAAATGAATCCTGTCTATTGCTTAATATCAAAGTTCATAATGAAGAATAGTTCCTAAATTTACATTTTTCTTAGACTTTTGTGTTGCATTGTGAGCATGACACATGTACTTGACGTTAAGCTAAACATGGTTCGAGTGACATTAAGACTGGATGAAATGGGCACCATTGTGGCCTTTATATTAGTGAGAAAAAGCACGCGTAGCTTGCACAAGTCATAAGTTAACATAGAAGCTATGAAGCATGAACACTTTGAATACGAACCAGACACTGACACGACGACACTGATAATAATTTGAAAAAATGAATAAATTAAACGTAATCACAAGTATCGGTGCAGGTGTCCGATACTGACACGGACATGGACACACCTGCTTTTCAGAGGTGTCGGTGCTACATAGCATTGAAGACCGTGTTTCAATCAGTTGATATTTTCTTATGGTCTCATTTGTTTCTTCCATACCAGGATTTTTTTTCAGAGCTTCAAGATAGAGAACAAGAATTTGGCATATCTGACATCCAGCTTGGTCTAACTACTCTTGAAGAAGTTTTCTTGAATATCGCAAAGCAAGCAGAGCTGGAAAGTGCTACAGCTGAAGGGAGCCTAGTGACTTTGACCTTGACATCTGGAGAGTCTGTGGAGGTAAGTGTAACTGCATTTTCTTTTGGTATACGCCTCTCAATTCTCAAGAGATCGAGTTCTAAATAGTTGTAGTTAGTTTTTCTAGCAAAAACTAAACATGAATGGTGTATATTTGTATAAACTAGAACAGTTATCATATTACACATTCTATGAAGCACTAACATAAATGCAGACACGACACTGACATGTCAATCATGTCAATCCCTGTAATTATCTGATAAAATAGTGTGTAACCACATATCATGGTATTGTATCGGACTCCAGACACATTTTTAATCCGAAATGCAGTTGTTACATAAAGTACATCTACCAAACAGGGAAAGACATACAAAACTATTTTAGGGTTTGTCTTTCCAGAGATTACTCTTTTTTCTTTTCAATTGAATAAAAGTTGTAGCTGTGACAACTAGCTAATTTCTGCTGATCAATAAAATAACTGCAGATTCCAATAGGAGCTAGGTTTGTGGGAATTCCAGGAACAGAGTCTTCTGAATACCCTACAGGTTTTATGGTAGAAGTATACTGGGAGCAAGATGACACTGGTGCCCTTTGTGTCGCCGGCCACTCACAGAAAGCTCCTATTCCTCAAAATATCCAACCACCTTCATCTGCTACTGCAAGACAACGCCGGTCAGGGTCAGTTCATGGGGTTGTGATTGATCCAAGTCAAGTTAGTTCAGACAATTTCCAATGATGCATGCTCAATGTTTTTTGGAAGCAACCTCAAGACACAACATGAAGGGAAAAATATCTCTCATTTAAATATTATTTCTGGCTAAAAGATTACACTTGTATATGAGTTGTGAGTTGGGAGCTTGTTGAACAGATAGATATAGGTTTTGGATGCAGGAATTTGGTGGGGAAAGGAGGACTTATTTTTTAAAAGTGAAGTTATGAAATATTTCTAAATATAAAGAAAGTATAATTAATATTTTGTATGATCATCTATCATAATATTCTGTCACTCTGTTTTTAAAAATTCAAAATATATACCAAAATATAAACTCGGTCATCTAAAACTCCAAAATCCTCCATCCAAACATACCTTATAGAATTTCGTAATTTCTCTTGCTGTTGGGATTTTAATCTTATTTTATTGTTTTTTCTTTAGTTGAACATTAAAAATGAATAATGTCATATATACACTTCAGTTGTGATTTGAGCAATGATTTGCATCGCAATTATTATTTACTATGTTTTAAAAATGTAGTCAGGTATTCCTCAGTGGTAATCTTTTAAATGTTCCTCAGTGGTAATCTTTTAAATGTTTCTTTTGTTTGAATTGATGTTTTATAATTTATGGCTTTCAATTTTATTTTTATCAGAGATGTTTTTCTTTGAAATATCATCTGAGATGTAAAAAAGTTCTATATGACAAAATTTCAATAATTAGACCCCTTAATTGGCCTTCTATTAAATCATTTTTTTTAAACTTTTTGTTTTTGAGTCTCTTTATATTTTTAATTTTTTTATAGGGTTTAAGTAATGGACTTAAAATCTAATTTGTTTGAAATAATTTATTTTAAAATTTTTTTTGAAACTAAAATAATCAATTTTTTATAAAATAAAACAATTGTTTTCTTAAAAACAAAAATAAAAGTCAATTTTTTTCTAAAATAAAAAAAAAATGCTTTTTTTTTGGTGTCAGCTAAGGTGAGAGCTACAATAAATTCCTTACAGGTGGTCCATTATGAAAAACAATTATAAGCAATTACAAGTTGTTATATTAAATAAATTTAAGAGATTTCTTAAGTTACCTTATGTGATTGAAATTTTTTTTATATAATTTAAAAATATTCTCTAATTGTTGGAAATATATTTCCAGGTTACATTCCACACATATACAATTATTTATTTTTAAAATACATTCTATTTTATAATTTAATTTATTTTAAAAAATGTATTTTCTGACATTTTCAAAAATACATTTTCAATTTATAGTAAACCGAAAAGACAAAAAGACAAAAGAGCATTTTGTACGGCTTCTGTGATAGTCAAATATTGATGTTTTGCAGTTATCACTACAAACAATGTTAAATTAACAACTGTGTAGGATTAGAAGAATCACTAAAAAACAAAAATATAGTAAATAATACAACACCAGCCCACACACTCATCTTTAGACTACTTTAGAGTAATCTGCTATTTTTGTTTCTGCTATTCCTGTAATGTTTATCCTAAGAGCAAATAAAAAAAATGAAAAATATATGAAACTAAGATAAACAAACTTAACACATAATCAAAATAGCACATACATTAAAAATAGTGCAAAACAGGATAGCAATTATGCAGGTAATCCAAAAGAAAGAAGAAGAAAAAAAAGGAATATAAAGCTAATTCTAAAATAAAGAGTCAAACCCATGAAATATAGGCAAAACATTTAAGAAAACTGAAATATATTTCCTAGTTATTTCGGAAATGTATTTTTAGAATAAATTAAATCGTGAAATATGATGTACCTAAAAAACGAAAATATTGTATATGTGAAATGCGTCTCAAAAATATATTTTTAAAATCTAAGGACATTTTCAAAAATTCACGCAGTATACTAAAAAATTATATGATTCATTAAGAAATTCTCATAAACTTATACGATGATACACTAGATGTCATCTAAAAAATTATATGATTCATTAAGAAATTCTCATAAACTTATACGATGATACACTAAATGTCATCTAAAAAATTATATGATTCATTAAGAAATTCCCATAAACTTATACGATGATACACTAGATGTCATCTAAAAAATTATATGATTCATTAAGAAATTCCCATAAACTTATACGATGATACACTAGATGTCATCTATGCCCAATGCATGTTTATGTTTGGCTCTCTCTTTCTAACAACTTTCTTTTCTCTCCCCACGCAACCATGGGGCCATTTCATGTCTTATTTTTTTGGGGAATTTCTTACCACACCACATGCCATTGAAAATAATCTTATGAAAATTTAATTTTTCCATGCGCTCTCGAAAGTGTATCTCTGGGATGTACATTTTTTTTTTGTTAAACTTTGCTTAATCCCGGAGATACATTTACAAGATTGAACCGAAAATACATCTCCGATTAATTAGTGCGGGAAATTAGAAATTTTGCCACCTTTACATGTTGGAAATAATTTATATTTTAGAAATATCTAAGAATATCTTTTTATATCTTTTTTATATCTTTGTTAGAGGGTATTTTAGTATTTTATTATACCCAAACTTTGTGTATAAATAGCCTAGTAGGTAGGTCAATATAATTCATTGTAAATTCATTATTCTTTATTCTGTAGCCGTCATTAAATATATTTCTTTTGTCTTTCATCTCTCCTTGTGCACCAACAATTAGTATCAGAGCTCCGATTCGAAATCCACGGGAAACACGAGTGAGCAGTGAGGTTGCAATTTTCTGATTCTGTAAACACTGGTTTTTCGTAAATTGTATAAGGTAGAAGATGAACGGAAATGGAGGCGATATCAATTCCAAGCTTCCAGTATTTGATGGCTAAAACTAGAATCATTGGAAGATTCAGATGCGTGTCTTGTTTGACTCTCAAGATGTGTTAGATCTTGTCACCGATGGTTATGATCTGTTAGCAGCAGACGCAACAGAGGCCCAAAAGATAACACAGAAGGCGATAAGAAAGAAAGTTTAGAAGGCGTTACTTTACATCTATCAATGTGTAAATACGAACGTGTTTGAGAAGATTGCTGACTCTGAAACAGCGAAGGCTGCGTGAGACACACTGGTCAGATGTTAGGGTGGTGAAGCATCAGTGAAGAAGGTGAAGCTTCAGACTCTCAGAAAGCAATATGAGAATCTCAACATGAAGGACAACGAGAAGGTTTTTGAGTACATATCTAGAGTGATTCTGATTACTAATGAGATGAAAGCTTGTGGAGAAACCCTTTCTGAACAAGTAATTATTGAGAAGATCTTGAGATCTCTAACTTCTCAGTTTGACTATATTGTGGTAGCAATCGAACATTCCAAAGATTTGAGCACCATGAGAGTTGAAGAGCTACAAAACAGTTTAGAGGCGCATGAGTTGCGTATGACTGCGAGAACTTCTGAGAGGGAAGTAGAGCAGTAGGCTCTGAAAGTAACTTTTGGTAAGAAGTATCAGAAGCAGACTTGGTCAGAAGCCAGGAAGAAAACTAATAATGGTCAAAGGTCAGAAGCTTCGAACTCTGATAGGCAGAAGAATGTCCAGGAGGGAAAAGAAAAGTCTGACAAGAAGAATGTTCAGTGTTACTGTTGCAAGAACTTTGGTCACTATGCCAAAGATTGTTGGTCAAACAAAGAAAAGAAGTCATAAGAAGAAAATATAGCCAGAGGAAAGTCTGATGATGAACATGTGCTATTGTTGGCTTCTGAACCTGATAATATGAATTCATCAGAATGGTGGTATATAGACACAGGGTATTCAAACCATCTTACTGGAAACAAAAAATGGTTGGTTGATTTTGACTCTGGAAAGAGTATAAAGATCAGATGTGTTGATGATAAATACCTCAATGCAGAAGGTATGGGAAATGTCAGAATCATGCTAAACAATGGGAAAGCAGCAATGATCCAAAATGTATGGTATGTACCTGGCATGAAAAACAATCTGATGAGTGTGGGACAACTGATTGAGAAAGGTTTTTCGGTTACCATGAAGGACAATCTTCTGAAGCTGTATGACTAATCAGAAGCTGATTATGGAGTCAAAACAAGGAAAGAACAAAATATTCAAGATTCATGTTAGAACTGCAGACTCTGAATGCCTTAGTGCAACAAGTGTTGTCAAGGAGAGTGATCTGTGGCACATAAGATTTGGTCATCTAAATTTCAAAAGCTTAGGGCATCTGAAATCAAAGAAGCTGGTACATGGAATTCCTACAATCAAGAAGCCTGAGAAGTCATGCAAGGTGTGCATGGAAGGGAAGCAACCAAGATTACCATTTGCATCAGAAGTAGCTCCAAGAGCAGAGCATTCCTTGGGAGTAGTGCATTCTGATGTGTGCGGTCCATTTCCAGTAGCATCAACTGGAGGGAATAAATACTTTGTGTCATTTGTTGATGAGTTCACCAGAATGACATGAGTATCTCTCATAAAGTTCAAACACGAGGTGTTTGCTGAATTCAAGAAGTTCAGATAGAAGGTTGAGAATCAGAGTGGCCAGACTCTGAAGATTCTCAAAACTGATGGTGGTGGTGAGTATAACTCCACAGAATTCAGAAGGTTCTATGAGGAGAATGGAATTGAGCATGAGGTCACTTCTCCCTATACTCCTCAACACAATGGTATTGCTGAAAGAAGAAACCATACTTTACTTGATATGGTGAGAAACATGCTGAAAGAGAAGAAGCTTCCTCATACTCTGTGGGGAGAAGATGTTGCCATTGCATGTTATGTGCTTAACAGATGTCCAACAAAGAAATTGAAGGAAATAGTTTCTATTCAGAAGTGGTCTAAAGATAAGCAAAGTGTTAGTCATATGAAGGTGTTTAGTTCTGTATGTTATAAACATGTCCCAGAAGACAGAAGCTGGATGATAGAAGTAAAGTAATGTTACTAGTGGGGTATCATAGTACAGGTTTGTACAAACTTTATTGTCCAGAAACTAACAAAGTTGAGTTCAGCAGAGACATCATTGTAAAAGAATCAGAAGTCTGGAATTGGGAAAGATCTTGTCCTGACTCTGATGAGAGAACTCCT